TTGTCCAGATCATTTTGAATTTTAATCCTATCCTCCAAAGCACTTGCAACCTCTCTCAGCTTGGTATCATCCACAAATTTTATAAGTGTACTCTCTGTGCCATTATCTAAATCATTGATGACGATATTGAACAGAACCGGACCCAGAACTGATCCCTGTGGGACACCACTCGTTATGCCCTTCCAGCTTCACTGTGAACCACTGATAACTACTCTCTGGGAATGGTTTTCCAACCAGTTATACACCCACCTAATTGTGGCTCCAGCTAGGTTGCATTTCCCTAGTTTATTTAGGAGAAGGTCATACAGGACAGTATCAGAAGCCTTACTAAAGTCAAGATATACCACATCTACCGCTTCCCCCCACCCACAAGGCTTGTTACCCTGTCAAAGAAAGCTATCGGGTTGGTTTGACATGATTTGTTCTTGACAATCCATGCTGACTGTTACTTATTGCCTTATTATCTTCTACGTGTTTGCAAACTGATTACTTAACTATTTGCTCCATTATCTTTCCGGGTACTGAAGCTGACTGGTCTGTAATTCCCCGCATTGTCCTTATTCCCCTTTTTACAGATGGGCACTATATTAGCCCTTTTCCAGTCCTCTGGAAGCTCTCCCATGACTTTTCATGGAAGGCAGACCCGGCCCCACATTTCCTGGGTCCCCCCAAACAGGGCCGGGACAGGTTCACTAATCTGTGTGCTTGCCAGGGGAGAGGCTGGATTCGCCCTGGGACATTGTGGACAGGCCAGTATTATTCTATTTGCTAGAAACCCAATGTCCAGGCCCTGGCCGCTTCTCCTGACACGACACACGCCCTGGCTGAGTGTCCGAGAGGCCAGTTAAGGGAGAACTCTGCTGATAACATCACGCTGCTTACCTCTGACAAAGGCGCTTCCATCAAGGGATCTCGTAGCACTGAACATATGAGGGCAGTGTCATTATCCCCATTTTACATACAGAAAACTGGGCACAGAAAGGGGACATGACTGACCCAAGGCCATTCAGCAGGCCAGGAACAAAGCCAGAACTAGAACCCAGGTCCCTGGACTCCCAGTCCAGTGCTCTGCCCACTAGATCACCCTGTTTCCTTGATCCGTAAGGCCACACAAATGAAAACACATTTTTGCCACCATCACATCTAGAGGCTGATTCTGTACAGTGAGCTATTTTCACCTGGACTGTAAGCTCTTCTAGGCAGGGGCTCTTCTTCTGGGTAGCAGATAAAGAAAGAACAATCATGTAGGCTTCAGGTAGCGATGGTCTCTTTTCTACGCTTGTATAGTATCCAGCACAAGGCAGCTGCAGTTCCAACAGGAATTTTTGGGTGCCACCATATGATAAATATTTACTACTGATCAGAGAAGTGGCAAGCCAAGTTATTTTCTAGCCGCAATACAATGTTACATCACTAGATGGTGCTACAAGACCACAAATTACTTTGTGACAAAACCTGCTATTCTTTAAAGTTAACCTTTACAAAAGGCAGTTGAAAAAAAGAAAAGTGAATGCATGCGATACAGGGCTAAGGAAATTTGCTGTCTAGGCAACTGGGAAATGGGTATTTAGATGCCAAAAACATAAGGAACTCCTGCCTTATTCACCTTATAAAGAAAGTGATCTATGGCACACAGCTCCCACGTTCAAATGGAATCTGTGCAAGGGAGGATGTGTCAAGAAGTCGTCTTCTCCACAAAAGCTTTTTAATTGGCAAACATGTCTTCATTAATTTTACCTCAATGTCGTGATGTCACAGCCAGCACTATCAGCCCCAAGCTAAATAAGCAATAAGCCTCATTTTTCAACACACAAACACATAAAGATGTCAGCTCAAACTGTTTACTAATTAACACTTAAAAAGACACAAATTAGATATGCGTGGCTAAGAGCAATTATAATCAAGACGAATTTCTCTAGTCATTTGGGAACAGAAAAAAATGCCTAATTGCTGGAACCAATGTTTTAAAAACTGAAATCATGCCAGTTAGCAAATATGTTCATTTAAAGAACATTTCATGTGACTACACTCTGGAGAATTGACTACAAACAGGAGAACAAGGAAAAATATTTCTGTATAAAATTAAGATTTTAAACTCTTGTAGATTTACAACTTCTTCATTAAAATGTTTGCAAAGAGCAGCCTATGAAAACCTGTAGCAATTAAGTGGTTAAATGAACTGCCTTCCTTGTCAATTTGAAGAGAATGATTAATATTAGATGTTCACTTTGCTAATTAGACTCTCACCAGACTTTTAGCTAAATGCCAAGTTAAAACTGAGTGGTGCATTCTATCGAATGCTTGCGCTGAAAAGAGCTGGGAGGCCAATGGTCATGCTTTATTGTTAACTATGTTACAGCATGGAGGTTTAAGGCAATATTGAGCTGTCTGATAAATTGCTCTTGACAGTCTGTGGAATTCTGGGCATGAATGGGGCTGAGAGCCCTCTTCACTGGCCGTATGTGTCACTCTCACCTGTACAGAAGATAGTTTAACTTGTTCTGGGGATTCGTTACCAATGCATTATGACACAGGTCTCGCTATCCAGGGGCACACGCAGTGCATGACAAACAAGCACAAAATCCCTTCCTGGAGCTGAAGGCGGGAACAGCAGAGTCTTTTCTGGATGTATAAATGCCCCCCCGCCTCCCCAAGAAGTGAACTGTGCTCTAGTGACTAGGACACTCTCCTGGGTGTCAGAAGATTTGGATCCACTCCTGGCTTTGCCACTGACCTTGGACAAGTTGCTTCTCTTCTCTTTGCCAGGCGACCCTCCCACCCTTTGGTTTGCCTTCTCTATTTAGAGTGTAAACTCCTTGTGGCAGGGACTGTCTCCACAATGCCCAGCATGGGAGTCTCTAGGTGCTCCCGCAACTACAACATTTCCCCCAAAGAGCGGAAAGCTTGATTTGTTCATGTAAAGGAGAAGGTTGTTCTCACAGCCTGGGGAATGGCTGGTACAGTTGGCATATTCTACTATATAAAATGAATAATCATTCCTGGAATTCTTTGGGAATATTTCTGTGTGGCATGCAGCTCCAGGGAAAATGCTCTTACTGCGGTTGGAAATCCAGCAGGCTTGCTGTAATGGAGCTATTGCTTGCAAGGGAAATAAAGCTACACAGAAATTCACAATATTTATATGCACATCTCTTTGTATGCAGACAAGATGCTTCATCAAGGAATATGGGCTGCATAATTAAACTTTTCATTACTCTGAAACACATGCGGCCTGTGATGGGAGAAAGGGGTGTTGGGATGGATGGCTCCCTTTCATTGCAGCACAAAATGAGTGTGACACTCACGCCCCCTCACATAACCTGGCCCGGGGGGGAGGAGGGGGAGGAAGAGGCACGCTGAAAAGGCTTTTTAATCCATGACTCTTTGGAACAGTGTTTCCATGTCTGGAGGGCTCTCCCACATCCAAGAACTTGCACATGGTGCTGGGCTTCAAACCTTGACGTTGAAATCTAACATCTTCTTAATCTGCCACTCTAGCAAGATGGACAAAACCTACCAACTAAAACATTGTTGCTGCTGATCTTAGCAACAAATGCTAACAGTTCAGGCCCACATTGGGTGGAGCAGCAGCACCTGGCACTAGTCAGGCTTTGCATGGACCAAGCTGTCCTTTCTTAAGTGGTCTTTGTGATACACAATTAGATGCTGTTCTGCCTTTCACCCAGAGTAAAGTTCATCTCTGTGCACCAGGCATATCCCATGTATGCCCTCAAACAGGGAAACTACTCTATACCCTCACTCTGCCATTTCTCAGTAAGAAAGGGAAAATAAATGTATTAACCTATTATCTTATATGCTATCTGTATACAAGTGCCCCAGAGGAGCAGGTGACTGAGATGGTACAGAACAGCAAGGCTCTAGGATTTGAGCTGGCTTGTCACTGATACACATTTCCATGGGGGAGATGACGCATGGGATACTCTGAGATATTCCACAACCAGATCGCCTGGCTCTAAACCCTGCTATGTGTCAGGGCAAGGAATTATTCACAATCTGGATACAATGTTCACACCTTAAACCTGAATAAATTGGTCCTGAAGATTTGTTAGCTTATAAATAGAGTCTTCCTTATTATGGAAATAAACATGAGAATTCCTAACTTCCCATAAAAATACTTGAGTAATAAACCACTGTGTTTTGTTGTAAAGTCACCTATAATCTGCATGTGACACTCCTTCCATTTCTATGACATACTGCAAATCAAAGACAAAAGGAGTAGTCAGCTGTGTTTCTGCGTTGGCTATGACAGGTTCAGAAATTTTGCTGTGCCACATTGATTCACTTTGCCTTCAGTACAGGAACCTGTTAGCTGATAACACAAAAAGGGAATCCCAAAGGAACATGGTTCCACCAGCTCCATCTTTAAGACAAATATTCCTCTCAAAGGGAAGCTGCCTCTGAATATCTGACTGCTTACCATCCTGCTGTACAGCGCATGCACATACTAAAACACTGCCTTAGGAAAACAGCAATGACACAACGCTGGAAGTGGACAATACTCTGGCTTGATCCCCTCTCTCTTTTGGAGGGTTCACATTCTCTAAAATCTCAGCCTATTTGTTCCTGGTGACAAGTTACGTTCACCATCAAACTGAAAAATTATGAAGCAGTTTACCTGGCCCTGCTTAATTGAGTTCAATTGCTTCCTGAAATGGAAGAGGCAACCTCACACAAACAGTGCCCTGTTTGGGGAAACACGTAGTTGGTTAATAAGCGAGAAAGAAAGGTTAAACAAGAGACACATCTGGAATTAAATGGAGGGTGCAGATTTTGCTGTTAGATTCAACGCTTAAAGCTTTTTCTGGCGCAAATCATTTGTGATTTTGAGCTTACTGTTTGGCTTAACTTAATGTTGACTTTATCCACCAGCAGTGACCTAGCAAAGCAAGGTAAACTCCTTCCAGAAGGGAGGGAACCTTACAGCTATGTGAGCACAGATTTGGCTGTGCCTGTGCCCAGAGTCCCACAGGGCCACTTACCTCCTTTTCGATTTCTGCCAGGGATTTGATTGTGATGCCCAAGAGATCAACTTGCTGCATCTAAAAAATAACCCCAAAGACCCCAGAAACATGCTATTTAGTTTTTAGAATAATTCAGCAGATACATTCTCTGTCACTGGAGAGTCAGAGGCACCAGCTATAAAAATGCGTGTAACCCTTTTCCCCAGTACACCACACCGACACAGAGGCAGGCGGACCATGGGCAGTGATTGCAATGCTTGCTTATAACTAACCAGGATTATTTGCCATTCTTGACAGGGTCATTTTAAACTGGTAAATCCTTCGCTGTCTTCCTGACACAGAACAACTGCTATTGTACCACAGTGTGTACCACACCCTGGATTTTAGATGGCAATGGGGCATTAGCTGTGAAAAAGCCTGACCACACTGACCATCTGGTGGCAATGGTGTCACAGGAATCTTAAGGAAGGATTAGCATGGCCTAATGGCTCTCTGCATTTCTCCTAGCAGCGTGGGGATTCCAATTCTCTGGGAACGTGAGTGGAAGGGATGAACAACGCACAAACAGTCCTTTTCAGACAGCAATGGCTGCAAAACCATCACATTTTATCTGGAGTTTCTATAATCACAAAACAAAACAAAAAAGATGTAACACCAGCCGCAGGATGTGAAGAACAAGACACAGAAGACAGTTCCATGTTTTCAGTAATAGTTTCTTGTACATTGATTTTTAAAGAGACAGTTGGAGGTAGTGGCTGGAGTAGAGGAATGGTAATGGGATATGGAGCTATTCAGCTCTAGATTACAGCCTTAAATTAGTCCCAGGCAAGCAGTACTCCAAAGTCTTTAAATGGCACTTATTTGGGACTCTCTATGAAATCCATTCCTATGGACAGGTGTTCACAAAACACACCACCACATTAGGAACTAACCAGCATCCCCTGCTGACCATTGCAGCAGATACACCCTGAGCTGAACAGGACACGAGTCCTCTCCCTTCAGAAACAGACACAGATCTGAGTTTAGAAACCTCCGTGCAGGGTAGCGTGAGAAGCTTACACTGTCACTGCCTGTGCCGAATCAGCAGGGCTGTCAATGCAGACCCTAAATTCATCACCAGCATGGCATTCACTTCAGAATTCAGTTGACAGTATTCTGTACATGGAAACACAATCTCGCTTTGCTGCTGCACTTGATACACTTTGAATATATAATCTCTCAAACCAGAGGGAAACATGAATACTAAAAACATTTTTCTAGCCATGTTTCTATTGCCTGGACCCCAGCGGAGGTCCAGCTGTTGTATCATTAGGACATAACAACCTCTCTAAACTTTCTAGACTGGAATTGGTAAACAGGACAGCACAGTCTTTCTCCCCAGAAACTGGAATCCTGCCAGCGTCGCCACGGCAACCAAGCTACCTTGGGTCAGCTAAAGTTACTTGCACTCCACGTGCAAAATCACGAGCATTTTTCAAGATTAAGCAGCTTCCAGAAAGATGTAAGTGATGCATATTGTGTTTCATTAGAATGGAGGCACCGCCCAGGACTCTCAGCTGTCAGTGCAGCCCTAGAGCACTATTTCGATGGCACGTCAGGTACCGGGAAAGCCGGGCTGCCAGTTCTAACGAAGATGTGGATGCAGACTGGGAATGATTTTACTTTGGCTCAGCACCAAGAGGCCAGACCCACAATGGAATGTCCAGGGCTCCCACCAAAGAACTGAAAAACCCTCATTTTTAAACACAAATTACAGTAATGTGCTGGTTCGATCAAGGGCCATGGCAGCCCTGCCATCTTTGCTACTGGGGAGGGCTTGAAGGTGCCTTACCAGCCTTATACCACACTTGGGCAAGGTCTCACTGCAGCTTGGCACCGCTCTCTGCGGAGTTGTGAAGAGCAGGGATGAAAAGGACCCCTGCAATATCTCTAACTCTCAGTGAGTGTCTACAGTAGTCACAGTGTCATTAGCATTGTACTCAGCTTCTGGGATCTGAAAGAACAGGGCCACCTCTATGCAGGGAAGGGACAAAAGATTTAACTTAGACCAGGTATTTGCTTTTTTTTTTTTTAAACATATACAGACAGTCTCAATGCAGCCAGGAATTTACTCATGATCACCTCTATCTTGGCAGTGATCGAGGGTTCACCTAATAGAGGAATTTACTTTTAGAAATGATCTGGTGAAACAATCTAAACAGCCACCCACACGTCAAACAAAAGTGTTCTCAGGTGCATCTACAGTCACTATGGTGAAATTCACCCTCGTGCAGGTGGCTAGCACCAGGACTATGCACCAATTATGTTCCACAAGCTTAACTGGTGCTTATGCCTTGTGAGTGCCCTCCGCATGAGGGTGAGCTTTACCCTAGAGAACGATGACAGTAACTTACCCCTTCAGGAGCGCAGGCAAACTTATCTGAGATCATAAAAGGCACTCCATCCATGGCTGAAAAATACAGATGAACAGAGAGTTGAAATCTTACATTGATATGCTGATGTCCAATAACTTACTGCATTTCCAGAAACATACCATGTATGAATCGCATCAACATTTGGCAATAACATACCAGGGTACAAATCAATCAGGTCAGACCAGTCTGTTGACTCTCCCAATTGTACTGCCAGTTCAAAGCACGGCGGGCAGTCAGGTATATCCTTGATAACATCCAATCTCATTCTGGCCATTGGCACAATTTCATACACCGTGTTCTATGAATTTGCCCCCAACTTGGTTGGACTGTATACAGAACCAGCCTCTCGAGCGGGGCAGTGTCTGGAGCCCAAAACAAATGCAGATGGCTTACAAGGACAGACTTCCACTTGCCACTTACTGTGTAATAATCGTTTGCATATAAACTGCTACATAAAAAAAAGAGCCCTCGTGATGTAGCACTTTTTCTTAGTGAGAGAAAAATCAAATGTTTGGTTCAGAGGACAAGATGGTTTTTGCCCCCTAGAACACAAGGCGCTATGCATCCCACTGGCAGACTTACAGGGGAAGGTTTGGAAAAGAGACTTAGAAACTTGTCCGCAATCCTTTAAAAAAAAATCCTGACACTAGAGATGAAATGGAGTCTCCCAGACCGTCAGGAGAAATGACCTTCCCTTGCCAGTCTACTCCAGAAATAACCACATGCAAATACAATACACTAAACACACAGTCAAGATGCCAATGAAATCAGATTATCCGAGACCCCTGAAGTGGGGCAGCCTTGAGTCACACTGCCCTGGCTCTCTTGGTTTGCAGCACAACCTTAGGAACAGGGAGTGGTTTTTGCATATGCTTTGGGTCATCTTCTCTTTTAAACCAGGATAAGGATCTTTGTTGTATTGTCACTGCCTTTGCAGCCCTCAAAGCAAGCTCTGAAAGGCCCCGTAGCCCAGGGGAGCAAGTTCATCTCTCAGCAATTCCCATAAGATTCCGGAAAAGGTCCGTTTCCAAGCCAGCACACTGAGTCTCCAACAGGCTTCACAATTTATCCGCGCCGGTTACTTGCTTCAATCTTTTCAGCCTCTTTCCATTTCAGCTCCGAGAAAAAGACGACGTGACCATGTCCCCAGAACAAGTTCAATGCTCGCAGTGGCCTCTACCTTTACCCCAAACAGGTTTTCTTCCGAAAAGCATCAGAGCCAAGGCAGTGTCTCTTGGGCTCTGATTTGAAATGGCCAGGATTCGTGCAACTCTTTGGTTTGTGTGCCTAACGTCACCCAACGGCCAGGATTCTTGCAACTCTTTGGTTCGTGTGCCTAATGTCAGCCAACATGGACGAGTTCAGGTGTTGGCTGTAGGAAGATTTTCATACATTTAACATTTGACATGCACTTTATATCATTTTTTTTGACAAACCAACTCAGATGGAGGCAGGGTGCTGCGTGGCAGCAACACACAACCACCGTGTTACAACAAACAAAATATACAGATGAGAAACGGTGCCACAGAGCCAAGCAAGTTCTCAAACCTGGGAGACTAGCAGCACTTCTTACGCTGGCAGAGAGATGCTTTGGTCAGCCAGACAATGGATTTTGTTAAAGAAATTAAAGAAATAGCCCAACACTCGTCTGTTTGTTCCTCTAACACAGCAAAACAGCCACCGAAATGCATCACTAGGCTCCCTCAGTCTTTGAGACTGTAGTTAAAAAAACGCTGATCCACAGTACAGAGAAACCCAGCAGATGAAAGTAAGGATGTGCCAAAGGCTCAGTAGCGCAATTAGCATTCTCCTAAACAAACGAGCTTCAACAGAGCTGTAATTAAGCAGGCCTGTAATTAAGTATATGCCCTTTATCATAACGATCATGCTTAAAAATGGCATGATGCATGGAAGTATGTTATTAATGCTGTAATCCCAAAGTGAAAGCAGCATACATAGGAATCAGCGTGTCAGGCCCGTCACTAGGCTGTTTGTAAAATACATTAAAGGGAAAAATCAGAAAACAATGAGCTCATTCAGCTGTTCTTTTTCTAGGCAAGCACTAGAAGTCGAGGATTTGAAATACTTACTGATTCAGGAGAGTTTAAACAAACAACGCACTAAGCTGTCATTGTCTGTCCCTCCGCTAGACCTGTACTGGGGGCAGGGAAGGGGGAGAAAGTAAAGTGTTTTTTTCCTACCAGCCCCCTACCTGTGTTTGACACAAGGATCAGCTGTTTGGAGAGTGTGGGGCCAGTCCGCAGAAGGCACATTGTTTGGAACAGAACTGGAGCCCAGCTGGAAGCAGGCTGCTCTCCAACCAATCTCTGTGTGGGGATCTCTCCTAACAAAACAAAGGGGTTTCAGCTGGTATCTTTACCCTGACTTCACACCTGAACTATTCTGTTCCCTGACAAAGTAAATGTGCCGATGGACATCACCACTGATCTGAAGAGTCCTGCACCTCGCCCCCACCTGTTGATTTCTGGAGGTTGAACATCAATATACAAAGCACAGGTGGGACCACAACTATTCCAACATGAGACACCATGCGAGAGATATTTAAAATGCTGGGTTTTTTATTAGTACTTTTTCCAAGTCCAGTTTTGTGAGCGATTCTAGCAATTTGGGGGGCAAAAGCCCAAATTTCCTTGCAGGGATCTGAATCCAGAGGGCTAAAAGCATGTTTGATATTGGGATATTTGCTCCCATCACAATATTGAGTCATATTCAATTATTGCTCATATTTACATTTTGCAGGCAAGCATTTCCCCCAGCACACTCTGGACAATACTGCAGCCTAAATAATCATTAACAACAAAGCAGAAGGGACTGCAGGGAGATGAGGAGGTTGCCAGGATGTGGGGCAGAACGGAGTCACTGAATGCAAGAGTCACCCCCACTTACCGAGCCTCCTTCCCTTTTCCCCAGCTAGTAACCCTCAGCTAGCCCAGCACACCAGCCAGTCTCCTAGAACTTGGCAGCTGGAGTTGGTGGTTTCAGTCTTGTTTCCATCAAACAGGCAATCGAAACGTGGCACACTATCACCCTGAGACCCATTGCCACGTAGGGCCAGACTCTACCCCCATCACGCCTGCTGAATAAGGCCACACTCCGCGAGTAGCTACACGGACGTTCGTGGCACTGCTTTGCACAATTAGATATTAGTGCAAGTGTGGATGGCAGAATCCAGCCCTCAAGTGTTTTTTTTCAAATCACCGTTAGCAGTAAAGTGAAGTTTCTGGTAACTCATAAGGGAGGATGAGGGTTAGAATATCAGGGTTGGAAGAGACCTCAGGAGGTCATCTACTTTAATCAATGTGGATGTTAATGCCATATGAGGATGTCTTTGCTACACGATGAGTGAGCAGAACAAAGACAAAGAAACACAATGACCAGAGCTGCAGCTACTACGGTATCTGCTTGGGAGGTGCTGCGTGTCGGTACCTGGCCATAGGTGCGATTCACTCAAAGTGCAGCAGGAGACGATGCTAAACTGCGATTTACTAGCAGCCAGTTCATTTCATAATGAAGTTAAATGAAATCGGAAGGCAGCTTTTAATTCTATGTCCCCTGCTCCAACACTGCGCTGAAAATAATCATAATCCACAACCTTTGATTCTCTTTCCCTGGTGCTTTTCTAGAGCGCTTGGCAGTCTGTGATGGGAACAGTGCCGAGCTAAGGGTCTGTATTCCGATGGCCACTTTCAAAAGTTGCTAACAACTCCCAGGCCAAGCCCTGCAATGTTTGCTTTCGTTCTGCCAGAGGTTGCTCAAATGTTCCTTATAGACAAACTGTGCTACAATCGACCGTACCCAGCAACACCGTGAACGGAGAAAACATAGGGATGCTGGAGGATGGGCAAGGAAATTCTTTTTCCAAAGCTAAAAGCTAGTGATTCACCATAAAAAGGGGACCCCAGGCTGGATGGTGTAAGCATTACTCACAATGGGAGGGTTCATGATCTAACTCCCAAGTATTTATAGCCTTTATAAGAGTTACAATTTAAAAACAAAGGAAACACCATGACCCTGCACATTGGCTAATGGCATTTAAATCACTCTAACAGGCAAAGCTTTTCAGAGACCTTGTTGCTCCTACATATTTTTCAGGGCTGCGTTAAGCTGGGAATGGAACAGCTAAAAAGTCAAGTAATTAGAAAAATGAAGGTTCCCACAGCAACAAAATCCCAGCCCCACCGCACGCAGGATGTACAGCAGTTTTGCATGTTGCTTCTTCCGTTAAAAGTCTGCTTAATATACAGTACATGCACACGAGTGAAATTCTCCTCTAGGGCAAAAGACGGAGATTCTGTGAGGCATAGGCCTTGGGTGAGTCTGAATCTCCCTCAAGGTATCCAAGTTAACAGTTGTCATGGGAACTTGACCTTTGGAATTTCAGTCCTGTTTTGTGTCGCAGTGGTGCGCGTTTTAAAAACGGGCACAGGCAGCATTGCTGCAGATGATCCTTCTTATTAGTAAAGTTCTTCAAAATTCTTGTTAAAAATTAATATTTTCCTTTGCTATATTTGTAGTCTTAGAGGGCACTGTCCATTCTGACAGGATTGACCCACGTCTTACATTCTTCCTTGGCTGGCTGTTGTCAATGTTCCCCTAAAAGAATGTCAGATATCAGCTCCAGAGAGTCAGTTACCAGCCAGTCATCTACTGAAGGGTTCATTTTAACTCAAACAATAGAAGGGAAGATCTAAGAAATTTTAAGTGGCAGCAAAACCTTAAGAATGAATTAACATCTAGGATTCTTGGATAATTAGAATATTTCCCATACAAGACAGACCTAAAATAGAGCTTATCCTTGTCCATTTCTACTTCTGCTTTCTTCACCCCCAAGGGTGATTTACCAAGGAAAATCACCACCACCTTGGAGATGGCATTGTACAAAGAAAGTATGGCTCCCTACAGCAGCCATTCTGGGGACAATAAATAGCAAGTAGACGTAGGCCTGGTCCACACTAACCCCCCACTTCGAACTAAGGTACGCAAATTCAGCTACGTTATTAACGTAGCTGAATTCGAAGTACCTTAGTTCGAACTTACCGCGGATCCAGACGCGGCAGGCAGGCTCCCCCGTCGATGCCGCGTACTCCTCTCGCCGAGCTGGAGTACCAGCGTCGACGGCGAGCACTTCCAGGATCGATCCGGGATTGATTTATCGCATCTAGACAAGACGCGATAAATTGATACCAGAAGATCGATTGCTTATCGCCGGACCCGGAGGTAAGTGTAGACCTACCCACAGAATCATAGAAGATCAGGGTTGGAAGAGACCTCAGGAGGTCATCTAGTCCAACCCCCTGCTCAAAGCAGGACCAATCCCCAACTAAATCATCCCAGCTAGGGCTTTGTCAAGCCTGACCTTAAAAACCTCTAAGGATGGAGATTCCACCACCATCCCTAGGTAACCCATTCCACTGCTTCACCATCCTCCTAGTGAAATAGTTTTTCCTAATATCCAACCTAAACCTCCCCCACTGCAACTTGAGACCATTGCACCTTGTTCTGTCTCCTGCCACCACTGAGAACAGCCGAGCTCCATCCTCTTTGGAACCCCCCTTCAGATAGTTGAAGGCTGCTATCAAATCCCCCCTCACTCTTCTCTTCTGCAGACTAAATAACCCCAGCTCCCTCAGCCTCTCCTCATAAGTCATGTGCTCCAGCCCCCTAATCATTTTTGTTGCCCTCCGCTGGACTTTCTTCAATTTGTCCACATCCTTTCTGTAGTAGGGGGCCCAAAACTGGATGCAATACTCCAGATGTGGCCTCACCAGTGTTGAATAGAGGGGAATAATCATTTCCCTCGATCTGCTGGCAATGCTCCTACTAATGCAGCCCAATATGCCTTTAGCCTTTTTGGCAACAAGAGCACACTGTTGACTCATATCCAGCTTCTCATCCACTGTAACCCCTAGGTCCTTTTCTGCAGAACGGCCACTTAGCCAGTTGGTCCCCAGACTGTAGCAGTGCATGGGATTCTTCCGTCCTAAGTGCAGGACTCTGCACTTGTCCTTGTTGAACCTCATCAGATTTCTTTAGCCCAAGCCTCCAATTTGTCTAGGTCACTCTGGATCCTATCCCTACCCTCCAGCGTATCTACCTCTCCCCCCAGCTTAGTGTCATTGTGGCAGGGGTGATGACTCACCGGCGCGGCGCCTCCTGCTGGTTGTCTCAGGAATTAGCTCTCCAGCCTCCGGAGCACCCTCTGCAGGCCAGTGTCGCGCCTGCTGCTGGCCCCGTGTCCCTCCCAAACCCCGATGCCCCTCTACGTCAGGGTTCTGCCCTGGCAGTAACCCACAATCTGGGTCTCCCCACCTTGCCTCAGTGGCTACCGCCAGTCACCATCTAGCCCCTGCTCCCTGGGGCAGACGGCAGTCTATAGATCACTCATCGTCGGCAAGGGGGCTTTGGACCAGCCGCTTCTGCTTATATCTGGGCTGCCCCTCTGCAGCCCTAGTACCCTTTTGTGGGCCCTTAGCTTGGCCTGCAGCCTGGGGCTTTGCTAGGCTGGAGTTCCCCAGCTCCCTCTGCCCTTCCCCAGCACTGCTCCACCCTAGGTACCCTCCTCGGCTTCCCAGGGAGCCAGGTCCTTCTCTCTCTAAGAGGCTAGAGAGAGAGTCTCTTTTGTCTCTGGCCCTCAGCCCTCTTATAGGGCCACCTGTGGCTGCTTCCTCCAATCAGCCTATCATTTCTCCGCCACAGCCCTCTCCAGGGCTGCTTTAACTCCCTCAGGGCAGGAGTGGGGTGACCACCCCACTACAGTCATCCACAACTGATGACAAAGGGGAGTGTGAGACCATCCTATTATCTACGGTAAGTAGAAATAATAAATAAAATAATAATGAAAAAGACTCCTCATCAGTAAAGTCTCCGCACTAAAACATACCAAAATACCAATTAAAGTTATTAGCTGAGAGATTAAACATTAAGACCCAGATTCTGTATCTGGGTGGCTGGGAATAGTCCTCAAGGGAAAGAACTAGAGAAAACAGGGTCTCCCTAGGCAGAATAAAACATTTCCTCACTTTTTTCAGGAGGTGCTAGCAGCTCTTTAACAACTGCGGTTCCAGGGCCTGTGCAGCCTGTTCGTTCCATACCGTTTTCTTTCCCTCGGGCTGGTTGCAGGAGAAACACAGTGGCCTGAACTGTTCCCTCCGGGCATGGAACACATCTGGTGTTTGACACGGCCAAGGAGAAAGATGCTCCCATACCCTAGGAGACATCTTTGAGAAACCAAGACAAACACTCACCCAGTGTACTCTGTCTTGAAAGACTAAATAATCAGGGACCGATCTATGGGCAGACTGAATAGGAGAAACTACTAAGCCA